TGTTTTCAATAAGAAGATTTTTCTTCGGTGAAGTGTCAGAAAAAGATGTAAAATTGTTAACTAAAAACGTTTCTCATTACATGTCAACACACTACGGTGTTCCATTTAGTGAGTCTCGAAGCAGAGATGGGGGGCCGCTAGTTTATTTATATATTTTTACTTTATAAAAAAATTAATCAATAGGCTAGCTGAGTGCCAAAGCCAACTTGTAAGTTTTTACACATTGATTATAAAAACAAAGTAAAATAATTGAGTAACTCAAAGCCCAGGTCCTACAGTCATTAATTTATTCAAGTTATCTAGTGCTGATTATCTACCGCATTAATAAATAATTAATGTCAAAAAGAAAAACTAACAATGATAAATAGTAACTGATTATTTACGGTTTTCATAATCATAAAATAAAATAAAATAATATTTAACTTGGGGAGCAGAAAGGCTTGCTTGCATCCTCTTTTATTTTTCCTTGGAAATTAAAGTTATTTACCGCTGGCAATTAATCACCTACTTTTTTATACTAAGTAAAATAATTTTTTTTTTCAATTAATTCCTGATGTGATAAAAAAAACTCAAATACTTAGCACTAATGCTTGATTAATTATGTAATAATAATAATAATAATTTATGAATTAGTAAGAAATGACCATGAATGCCTGTTGACGACGCTATCGAAAGTATGTGAAGTAATAATATATAACAATTCAATTACTTACTACTGTTTTTTTCATCCCTTCTATTATTTAGTCCATCTAGTTACTATAAAAATACGGTTGATGAATATTGTGGTTGATCAATATCATTTGCCCACTAAAAGTAAAAGTATGCCTTACCTTTATTGCCTGCTTCTACTACTTGTCTCTCTTCTCCCCTACTAAACAAGGCCACGCCCCTACGTCGCAGCTCTCGCTGATTGGTCAATTTCGCCAACAGTTTATTGGTCATGTTGTTTATACACACAGCAAATCGGAAAGGTGCATTGAGCTTTTTTGTTTATCTCAACGAGCTTAATCGCACCATATAATTTTCCGAGATCAACTTCTTTACACCCTGTATACTTAAGTACATGTTTTCAGTGTCACTCAACCCAGGGAGAGGGTTAGGTATATCTAGCCGTCTAATGGATACTAATGTATCTTTTTGTATACATGTGGTATGGACACTTACTACTGACATATATATGTAGGTGTATAAAGGTGTACAATGTACTTTTAAGTATATATGTGTATATTCATATATATTATATGTGTATATATATATATTTATATATATGTATATATATGTAAATGGGTGTGTGGGTGTTTGCATAGTATGGCTCTCTCGCGAGCTTCTCTCGGTCGGTAGCATTGTACAGATACACTGAGAAAGAACTCGCGCGTCTGCTGCTCCACAAGTACAGCCGTTGCAAGAATTAACCAAGCAGCCCTCGACTATGTCAGTGGCGCATCAACTGCACCACTTGGGCTGACTGAGCGTCCAGTGTGGATCGTCATTACGTACTTTACATAGTGCAGCTACCAAATGTGTCTATAGTCCGTCAGCCAGTCTAACATACGGTACAGCACTTGGTATATGGTACAGCAACCCGTATATAAATACTTACTCTTTTTATAACTATTTCATGTAACGTATAATGCTTCAGTATTTATTGCAGATGTACGTTAAATGAAGGATGGACCACTTCTTTCAAAGATATACAGCATATTCCGATGACTTCATGAAGTGGTGTCATGGTAAATGACCTTTTTTTAACTCACATAACCTTATTTTTATTAAACAGTACATTTATATTAATATAATATAAGTGATATTCTTCTCTTGCCTTTATTTGAATGAAATAACGGAAATAAGTTTAATTTAAAAAAATTAACAACTTTCACCTATATTAACTATATTCATAAATCGTTTAGTATGTATTGCCGGGTTGACAGGGGATTTAAGATATACTGAAGTTTGTTTAAACAGTATACTGGCTACAATAATAAGGAAAAAACTTTATTTTTGTTATTAGTCACCGTATGCTGGAATATTTGTTTTTTCATAATAAAAGTGGCAGTATTTGTAAAAAAAAATTTAATTCAAATTTTTGATTAAAATGAACAAGTTTTTCAAAATGGAAAATGAAACAAAGTGGTTTTCTGAGTCATAATGCGTTTAAACTTATCGCATTTTGATCGACGAATAAATACATGTATTCGTACTCATGCTTAACGTATGGTACACTGTATGATGCAGTACTTGCGCTAGCCTAACAGCTCAACGCTCAAGCCAGTCTAGTGGTGCAGCTACGTAACCCCCATGAATCGTACAGTAAGCGTTGTGTTATATGAGAAAAGATATTATTTCATTTAAAGTAATTAGGTGAGAAATCGAAGGCGGAAAAAAAATTTAGCCAAACCGGGTCTATTATACGGATAAATGATTTTGCTAGGCACTTCAAATCGCCCGAAATTTTTAATAATGGGTTATTAAATATCATCTGTCATATAGTACACAACACACATACTTATCTGTAATGTTGTATACGTGAGAGCAAGAACTCCAAGCAGTCGACATAGGCTGCCGCTAGCTGAATAATCTGAATCAGTGTTTACGTTTACAAAGTAACAAAATGCGTACGAGACAGTGTTGCGTTGTTAATTGCAACAAGAAAGAAAAGCAGGGGGTGGTGCTGTATAAATTCCCAAGTAGACCCCATGAAACAAAACAGGAGCTGTGGATTAGGGCAGTTAGGAGATAAAAGTTCGTACCTAACCTACAGCGGTCTTCGTTAATCTGATAAATAAATTACACATTTATGTATATGTTACCATAACCTACATTTGTCAAGCATAGGCAATAATGTACTTACAGATAATTCTACTTTTTATGGATTTAAGCTGACAGATGTTTGTCTCACAACATAACATAGCAATTGATCAGATGACCGACTCCTTTATTTACATATTTCTGTAAGTAGGCAACGTGCCCACTCTCTACTAATTTTTTAGCTTTTTTCAGCGTTTCATTATTAAAAACTATGTTGCAACTTATACTTTTAAAGCCTGTTTGGATAATCATATCCATTTTTAAGGGTGCTGATGTTTACGCGATAGCAGTATCTACGTCTTATTCAATAAATAATACTTTTTCCTATAAGCGACAGTGTTACGATTTAATCATACGGGGGTACGGTATTGCGCGATTCTGACACCGAGGGCGGCGCTGCGTGTCATGCTCGGAGCGAATATGCCTATGTCAGGTGGCGCCATCGAGTGAAAGAATTTGTCCCTCGCTAAGATCGCCAGAATGCATGCAGCCTTACAGGAAAACTTTTTGATAAATAAAAAAAAAAAAATTAATCATAGTGGATTGACCAAATGAATCAGAGATTTGATCGAGTATTATGTTAGTGTACAGTAATAAATTTTTTTTTGGTGGTGTCATGTGTACTACAAGATTGGAAAAAAAACATGGGTTGCGACTGTAATAACACAGCATATATGAGTGCATATACATGCTTTCAGTTGTGTGGAGCTTGAGAAACACAAGTACTGCTTACATTTTTCTATTTCTTTCAATACAGTGTTCCATAAACGTAAATACTAATGACAGGTTAGGTTAACGTTTACACATTTATATTACGTTTTCGTGGATTACCTATATTCTTTAAGCTTTACACAAGTGTAAGCATGAATAATGCACTTGTATATGCTATGTTATCATAGTCGCAATCTATGTTTTTATTTTTTCCAATCTTGTAGTACACATGACAGCACCAAACTAAATTTATTACTGTACACAATAACATAATATACACTCAAATTACTGATTCGTTTGGGCAATTTACTCTCAATAACCTTTTTTTAAATTTAAATTTTCCTATAAGGCTCCGTGCATTCTGGCGATCTGAGCGAGGGACAATTTCTCTCACTCGACGGCGCCACCTGACACAAAGCGCATAGCGAATAAGTATCCTAATATATATGTGTATATNTATATATATATATATATATATATATATATATTGACACTAGAATAACAGAAAACATATGTTTACACACATATGTATATGGATATACAAGTACATAGTATTAGGTTTAGCTGCCCAACTTTGAGTTCGAAAATTAGTTTATTTATTTTGCAATATATTTATATATATATACACACATATTTCCTTACCTCAAGACTTCTGGGGAATGCTAATACAACCTCTTTCTGTTACTTTAAACCTTAACCAAGTTAAAAATCGCGAGGCCAAACAGTAAACCTGAGCCCTACAAAGAATGTTATGTTTTAATAGAACAAGTTTATTTATAGAAAAAATTGGAATTGTTGATTAGCATGTTACCAAACTTTTAAAGTAAAAAACTTGTAGTAGACTTATGAAATGTATAAGAGCCCAAAAATGATCGAATATGTTTTCAAAATGACTAAAAAGGAACCTATCAACCTACACTAGTTCAGAAATTAAAATGTGCATTAGATGGTAGAACTTGAAGGAACTCTCACTCATGTGTCAAAATCCACCATAAAATGTATTACTAGTTAATTTTAAGATGGTTATAAAAAATTCTTTTTCAACGTAAATAGAAAAAATTAGTCTTTTAAATGTACTTAAGGTTTTGAAAATATTTCGTTTAGCTAACTGACAAGTGAGGATAAATTTAGAAGAATTTCTGAAGTAGCACATGGAAGTATATTTCAACTCGTTATTAAAGTAACTCTAAATAACTTTAGATCTCCCATTTTGAGCTAATTTTCATGAATACCAAACTCTTCAAATCAGAGTATATTTACTTATTATTTTTAGAGAAGTATTGCTAAAGCAAAGGTTGTAAAATGAGTTTAGTTTTGCTTTTGCAAAGTTTATCGTCGACCGTATTATGTTGTAGCAAAAAATTTTCTAGATTGTAACATCTGAAAAATAAACTGAAGTGGTATACAGAGACAAAAAGTTTGATAATTATAGTTTTGTTCTAATTTATTTTTCGATAGAAATACGAAAATGTTAGCATATTTACCACTTGTAAGCTAGTTCAATATGTTTTTTGCCTATGCTTGGCATCTTAGAAATGTAAGCCAAAAAAAATTATTACAAAAAATATAATTGATTGTTTTTAGTCACGAGGAAATTATAAAATAAACAATTTGTAGTGAAATTACTATACGAAATTATATGGACAAAGCCACAAACAAACGAAAAGAATTTTTATTATACAGAGGAAAGGTCAACATATATGAACTTCCTCTAAAACAATTTGATAATTTGGTCAAAATCGTTGAAGAATTGAAGAATGATTGTTATCTAATAGGTTTGTTCAGTTATTCAACTTCATAGAGATGCCAGTCCAGGGTCCACACTCCACCAAAGAATATAGAATATACTTTTCTTGCACAGAAGTCCAGATCCGCCGTTTTCGCGTCCGCAGTATTTTTTCTTTATATTTTAGTTATGCCCATAAATATATAAGAAAAGTAGACTGCTCTTTCTTGTGTGCGACGCTCACGGTGTAAGATAAGACAGGTGGTACGAAGTAAACCTCGTACTTCGTACTTCGTACCACCTCTAAGGTACTACCAACGGGTTGCAGTTTCGTAGCAGTACCGCTAACACTCGTCAGATGGCGTATGAGAGAGAAAGGCAAAATATATAGATGGATTAATTGCGTCATTGCTGTATAACTCAAAGTTTTGCCAATGAAAATTATTATTATATGTAGATATACAAACTGTATAATATAATCGTAACTCTATTTTTTTACAAATTTTACAATCTACTACTAATACGTAGAATAAGATACAATGAAGGCAATAAATTAATAAATTAAAAATTAGGTTAAAACCAATTTCGATGATTTTTTTTTCTCTCCACTTTCTTTTAAAACATCCTTATTTTGTATGTTAACATTTACTGTCTCATTCTCATGCTAGTATAATAATAGATAGATTTGGATATTGCATCCTCTTTATGTAGTTTACAGGGGAACTGAAACTTATAATTGCGCAAAAGATTTTCAACGACATTTTCGTAAACATTGACAAGCTGATTATTTACGGCTTCCCTAAAATATTTTTCTATTTCATCAAAGAGTTCGAAAAAATGAGTATTTGCATGGATGACTCCTCCCCTATTTTTTAAGTTATTTAATAATGCTTCTGGCTTAACAGAGTTTCCACGATTACTATTTAAAGTAATTTGACATGTGATGCATTTTTCAAATTTTTCTCGTAGTTTTCGACAAATAAAGCCAGTGACGTAATAAATAATTCAACTTATCGTGAACAATATTGTGAGAAATATTAGAGTTTTTATTTACATTTTGGTGCACCTTTTACGTTACAATTGTTTTCACGTCTGCTACTACCTTTTCGACACTGATCCTCCGAGTAGTCAACTTTGGTACTGCCACAAAATTGCAACTGACCGTGCAAAGCATAAAAGTGGTACTTCGTACCACCTGTCTTATCTTAGGCCGCGGGCACATGGAGATGGAGAGCGTAACGCGTACCACGTAACCATTTGAACCTATAAGAGTGAGAGAGAGGTAAAATACGCGTACCTCTCTCTCACTCTCACGGGCTCAAAAGGTTACGCGGTGCGCGTTACGCTCTCTATGTGACCGGGTCCTTACACCGTGTTTACGGCGCTGAAGCCTAAAGCACCTATAAGGCCTTAGAGCATAGCATATACATATGGAGGAAGCACGTAATGGGATAACGTGTAGGTAACTGAAGAGAGAGAAAGCAGTAGGTTTGGGGTACCCCACTTTTTAACACTTTTCTCCTTGTTCGTTCGCGATTGGCTATCCGTTGACTCATATGTATACGGATAGTAGTCTTTCACTTTGAGTAAGTGCCGTTTGCTAATAATATTTACATCAGTCGAGTCAAAAGTTTAATTATTGTAAGTATCACAGTGAATAGCTAATATAAGCGTGAGTTTGCAAAAGTTTTGGTTCAAAAAAAATAACATGAAAACGTGTAGCGTGCCAATGTGTAAACTCAAAAGTTACGACTTAGCAGTTAAAAATATAACCTTTCACAGGTAAATACGTATGTACACTTTCTTCAGAAGTTTTAGTATTATACTTCAGAGAAAAATAGAGTTGCATATGAAACATATGTTATTATATGTATAATATTTTAGTTCTGGCAAAGATGAAAAGAGAAGATAACAGTGGGCAAATAGTCTAGCTATTCGTTGTCAAAAAAAATGACGAACAACTCTTTTATTTGCAGTCATCATTTTGAACCAATATACTTTTACACTTGTTGGCTTTGCAAAAATGTTAGACTAGTATCATTAAAAATCATGCTTATATTAGCTATTCACTGTGATACTTACAATAATTATACTTTTGACTCGACTGATGTAAATATTATGAGCAGACGCCACTTACTCAGAGTAAAACACTACTATACCTATACATAGAGTCAACGGATAACCAATCGCGAACGAACAAGGAGAAAAGGGTTAAAAAGTGGGGTACCCCAAACCTATTGTTTTCTCTCTCTTCAGTTGCCTACACGTTATCCCATTATGTGCTTCCTCCAATATGCTCTAAGCCTGAGGCAGAGGCTCTATGCTCTATCACGGCTTTTGATATCTCGCAAAAGTTAGTATTTTTTTCGATAATTCTTAGACTGCGCATGCGCTCAACCATAATTTTACTTAAATAATCAAAAAAATACTGACTTATGCAAGATATCGAAAGCCGTGATAAAGCCCCCAGGTTCCCAGGAGCTACATCTTTGGAGAATAGATGCCGCGAGAGAGCTTATTATTCTCCGGTGCTCGAGGATGTCGAAGGTGCGAAGCAGGTCGTGAAAGGAAACGAGGCACGACGTACAAGTAAAATTACATTTCTTTATTGAGTTACAACTTGGTACGAAAAGCGTACGTTGCAGTCGCTAGTCCAGCCTGGAGTGGCAGCAGCGCTGGCTACCTAAAGGTTGGCGCTGCGGCGAAAGAGAGACGGAGAGAGCGCGCTGTTTGACGTGCGTCGCTAATCTGTGCGCGGGATGAGCAGTTGCTTCCGCCGAGAAGCTTGTTTTGAGCTTCGGCTGGTGGATGACGCCACAGGGACTCCCTCCGTAGTGTTGTCTGCGGGGAGCAGACAGAACGAAATGATCTTTTTGGCCTTGGGTGAGGTCAAGGTTGGTCCAGCCGCTGGCTGGGTGGGCGGTGAGTCGGCAAAAGGCCGCGTTGAATGGTCCTGTGTCTGGGGGCCGTTTGTAACCGACGTGGGTGGTTGCGAGAGCTGAGGAGCAGCGACGTCGTTGCCACTGATGGGCAGGTCATCTGCTTCGAGGTAGGCCGGCTTCAACGTGTCCGTGGAGACAGTGCGGGGCTGGCCGTTGACCTCGATTGTGTAGTTTCGCTCGTCGATGCGCCGGATTACCTTATGTGGCCCTGAGTACGGGGGGTCCAGCGGTCTCCGGATAGCGTCGATGCGGCGAAAGATGTGAGAGCATCTCCGCAGATCACTGAAAATAAACGGCTTCTGCGGAGGTAGGTGCCTTAATGCCTGGACAGGCTTGATGGCCTATGTGAGGCGTCGAAGGCCTTGGACGAAGGACGGCGGGTTGACGTCCGGGTGGCTCTGGGCGGTGAAAAAATCACCGGGCACCCTGAGGGTCGTGCCGTAGAGCATCTCGGCCGGAGATGCTTGGAGGTCCTCCTTGAACGAGGTTCGGAGGCCCAAGAGCACCGAAGGAAGTGCGTCGGGCCATGGGACGTCCGGACAGCACATCAGGCCTACCTTGAAAGAACGATGAAAACGTTCTACCATTCCGTTTGACTGCGGGTGATAGGGCGTCGTCCTTATGCGACTCGGGCCAATCATCTTGGCAAGCTCGGTGAATAACGCTGACTTGAACTGAGCTCCCTGGTCCGAAGTGATGGTCAAAGGCGTTCCGAAGCAGGCGATCCAGCTATCGTACAGGGCCTTGGCAACGGTCGCTGCTTGTTGGTCGGGAACGGGAACGGCGACCGGCCACCTGGTGAATCCATCTATAATGGTTAGACAGTACTGAAAGCCCTTGGTAAGGGGGAGTTTCACCAGGTCAACGTGGATGTGCTCGAAGCGCCCGTCAGGCATGTTGAAATCTCCAAGAGCTGAGCGGTTGTGCCTGTGCACTTTCGAGCGCTGGCAGGCCTCGCACTGCTGGGCCCAGTGAGTTACATCCTTTCGATCGGAGCATCGGGCCTGAGGAAGGTCGTCATGGCTGCTTTGGTCAAGTGGTCCTTGCACTGCTGGAAGGCGAGATCAGCGTCGTGGTTCCAGGCGAGTGGGGCCTTCTTGCTCTTTGGTGGTAGGTCCTTTAGCAGGTCATTGAGCGGAGCCATGCCACGGAAAATAATTTTGAACACTGAAAGCTGGTACGCTGTGGCTGTGAGAGTTCAAAGTATGCGTTGAACTGTGATAGCATGTCAGTATGCGCTGCTATAGTTCAATGCATTGTGTATGTACAGTTCAACGTAGTATTGAGCTGTACGAGCCCGGAGTTGTGTTTTCTCAAGCCTAGAGATTGTGCTGTGAGAGCACAATCTTCGGGCTCATGCAGCTCAATACTACGTTGAACTGTACATACACAATGCATTGAACTATAGCAGTGCATACTGACGTGCTATCACAGTTCAACATACTTTGAACTCTCACAGCCACAGTGTACCAGCTTTCAGTGTTCAAAATTATTTTCCGTGGCGTTGGCTACTCCAGGCATGCAGCACCTGTAGAAGTTAACCATGCCCAGGAATCGTCGGAGCTCAGATGAGTTTGCCGGTTTCGGGAAATCCTGGACGTCCTGGACTTTGTGAGCTGGGGGACGGACACCATCAGCAGAGACTGAGAACCCCAGGTAGTCCACCTCAAGTTGGCCGAGGATGCACTTCTGCGGGTTGATAAGTAGCTTGGCCTTGCGTAAGACGCCGAAAAGTCGATGGAGGTGTTGAAGGTGCTGCTCGTGGTTCTCGGAAGCAACGAAGATGTCGTCGAGGTAGCACCTGGCGAACGGGAGGTCACGTAGGACGTGGTCCATGGTCCGGTGGAGTGACTGGGTGGCATTCCGTTGACCCATGGAAGACCTCGTGAACTCGTAGAGCCCGAACGGTGTGGTTATTGCCGTTTTTGGGATGTCCTCCTCGGTTATCGGAATCTGATAGAAAGCCTTTCTCAATTCTATGACCGAGAAGACCTTTCCAGTCGCCTCCTGGAGCAGATGGTCGATGATCGGCAGTGGATAGTGATCGTGGGTGGTGCAGGCATTAGGCGCCGGTAGTCCCCGGTGACTCTCCAGCCTCCACTGGACTTTTGAACGAGGTGGAGTGGGCTCGCCCACTGGCTGGATGAAGGGCGTACGATGCCTTGGTCGAGGAGTCGCCCGATCTCCTGCTTGGCTGCCTGTAGACGCGGTCCGAGAAGGCGTCAAGGTCGCTCAAAGACAGGAGGTCCACTGGTGTGGATGGTGTGGTCCACCGGCAAGTCTGGCAGCGCTGCGGTGGTAGCTTCTGGAGAGCAGAGGTCTGCGTACTCCAGGAGCAGCTCTGCGTAGCGTTGGCCCAGGTCTCCAGGGGGTGTGCGTTCCGGTGTCATGACGACCGAAATGCTGAAGACGGTGGCTGGAGCTAAAGAGCCAGGCGTCGAAAGGTTAGTGGTCGGATCGATAAGTCGCTAACCCTTGACGTCTACGAGGTAGCCGAAGTGATTGAGGAAATCGGCACCGATGATCGCGACGTGGGTGTCAGCGACGATGAAACTCCACTTTGCTGCTCGTCAGAGACCCAGCTCGATGGTGAGGATGTGGGTGCTGAAGGTGGCTATTGGAGTGGAATTGGCAACGCTGAATGTCAGTGGCTGCGGCTCCAGCTTCCGCTTCCTGACGAGATGCTTGGGTAGCAGCGAGACGATGGAACCTGAATCCACGAGGAAGAGCACTCGAGACTCTGGGTCGAAGAAGTGTAGGCGGTTTTCCGAGAGACCTTGGTGGCCCGCCTCCGATACTTGGGACGGAGGGGGCTCTATTGGTTTCCCGGTTTGGTCGACGCGTAGGTGCAGGGCGGACGACAGTTCCTGGCGGCTGGTCCGTACGCTTTTTGGAAACGACACCAGTCTGGGTTAGCATCGGTAGGAACTGCTTGGTTGCCTTGGCGGCGGGAGCGTGACCTGGAACGGCTCCGGCCGCGTCGTTGCTGCTTGTCCAGGAGTAGCTCGTTGAGCATCTTGCGCATCTCTGCTATCTCCTGGGCCAAGCTGGATCCAGCCGCAGCGACAGGTGGTGCTGGCGGCGCAGACAGTGGATTCACGGCATTTACGGCTGGAATAGAGCTCGCGAGCTCATCTGCCATGGTGCTGAGCTCGTCTAAGGTGACCGTCTTCATAATCCGCAGGATACCGTTAACCTGTGGGAGAAGAAGGTCAAGCCACCTGATTTTGAGGATCTCGTCCGTGACTTTGCCAGCCGCAAGGTTTTTCATCTGGCGCAGGAGCTGAGAGCGGTTTGGAGTAACTAGCCAAACAGCTGGCGCAGCTGAGCGTCGGAAGTTTCCTGGAAGCGAACCAAAATCGCGTCTTTGATCGCCTTGAGGCGTCCAGTCGCTGGGGGGTTGGAGATGATGTCTGAGAGTTCGGAAACAGCTGGTCCGCTGAGGGCTCCGACGAGCAGGATGTAGCGCTGGTTGTTGTCAGTAATGCCTCCGGACTGCAGGATGATCTCGACCTGAGCGACCCATGCCACGGGCACCTCAGCCCAAAAGCGAGGAATCTTCGGGTCAGACATGGTAGCTGTGCGCTGCAGGTATTGTTGTTGTTGGACGGTGTCAAGGGCCCGCTGCACCTGCTCTTCTTCCTGCCGCTCTAAGCGACGCTGGTAGCGTTCGTCTCGGGGCGTCACTTTGTCATCCTGGTTCCTCAGCGTTGCGAATGGCCCACACCGGCGACGGGCGTGTCGACCTGGGGGTGAGGGCGCATAAGCGCGAGAGAGGCAACACAATAGCGCGTGGATGGCTGTCTGCGCGGGCTCAGACTTGTATGGCCCGGCACGCAGAGACTTCACTTATACACACGCACCCATGGAACGATAATTAAAAGGTCATGGGCTGGGCGAGCTATGGCTCCAGCCGCAGCAACGGTAATAAAAGAAAAGTATTAACGTAAATAAAGGTTACTAAACGGCACTGTCACTTCACTGCACTCAGGTACGAGGGATATAAAGTAGCGCAAGGAATGGCCTCATGCGTCTCGCGAACAATATGGCCGACTTTTGGCGCGCTCGTCTTTGTCGCGTCTTGAACACACAGCGTGGACGACGTGCTGAACACGAGCTGTCTAATGGAGATCACTTGTCTCCATGCAGCACAGTAGTAATGTGTTGCGTACAAGAGGGGTGAAGGGGGGGGGGTGGAACTTGTTGGCTCGCCTCGCCCTCACGCACTCACTCGCGAAAAACAAAAAAAAAGAAATGCGCATGCATCAGCACTTGTCGCTGTTGCGACGGGTAAGTCAAAATGGTCGCGAGGCCAAGCGCGTGCTCTGGGGTCGAGAAAAAAAAGGAAAATGTATGCACCCCTATCTCAAGTTATGACATCAATGATGACGTCATTCCAGACATCGCAAAATACGTCATTCATGACGTCGTGAATGACATCACACTGACGTCAAAATGACGTCATTTGCAACGTCGCAAAAGACGTACTCTACGACGTTTCAAAAGACGTCATTTACATGGGTTGTTGTTTAACAAAGGGCTGTTTAAAAGCATTTGATGGCCTTGTAGGTGCTACCATCAGGATGGTAACACTAAAACCGGGAGGTTCAAGTATTTTTTATGATAAAAAAAAAATTTTCTCAAATAAGGAAAAAACTTTCTAAATTCAAAAACTTTTTGAATCCTTCTATTTTGGTGTTACCATCTTGATGGTAGCACCTATAAGGCCATCAAATGCTTTTAAACACCCCTTTGTTAAACAACAACCTATGTAAATGACGTCTTTTGAGACGTCGTGGAGTACGTCTTTAGCGACATTGTAAATGACGTCATATTGACGTCAATGTGATGTCACACATGACGTCATGATTGACGTCATAACTTGAGATAGGGGTAACACGAGGATTTGACTGCTCGGCGGCTCGAGGCGCTGCGTGGACGCGAGGAAAGAAAAAAAATATTGTCACTGGGTCGAGAGGAGAAAGGCCGTGAAGCCTGCGGGCTCCGTGAACAGCCGTTGACGTTGGCTGTTTCTCCCTCTCGAGGCACTTTTTGTTTGCACATCACTGGCACTGCTTACCTCGACAAGAATCCTGGCAGGATCGCCACTTTGAAGATTGGATGCTGCGAAAGAGTTTATTCTCCGGTGCTCGAAGATGTCGAAGGTGCGAAGCAGGTCGTGAAAGGAAACGAGGAACGATGTACAAGTAAAATTACATTTCTTTATTGAGTTACAACTTGGTACGAAAAGCGTACGTTGCAGTCGCTAGTCCAGCGTGGAGTGGCAGCAGCGCTGGCTACCTAAAGGTAGGCGCTGTGGCGAAAGAGAGACGGAGAGAGCGCGCTGTTTGAGGTACGTCGCTAATCTGTGCGCGGGATGAGCAGTTGCTTCCGCCGAGAAGCTTGTTTTGAGCTTCGGCTGGTGGATGGCGCCACACATCCGCTGCATAGCGAATTATTACCGATGCCCCAATAGAACTGAATTGATGCTATCGATAGTAAACAGCACAGTTCAGTACGATTGGGACAAAATTCAAAAGTGAGTTCAGAATCCCGAGAAAATTAAAAAACTTTGACCTAAAGTCTTAAACCCAATAACCCCAAAGTATTTAACTCCTTAGCCCAGAAATCTCAAAGCCTTTAAGCACATAACATAATTTTCTATGATCTATTTAACCCCATTACCTGTTGTCATAAATAGTCAAATCAATTATGCGAGCGCAAATCACTAGATAACCCGTGGCACCTACTGGCCACTTTGTTATATAATAAAATACGATTAAACAATACAAGTGCCAATCACCAGATAACCCAGGGCACCTACTGTTACTTTATTAAATAAAAACGTACGATTACACAAGTGCCAAACACCAGAGAACCCGGGGCACATACTTTA